AAAAGCTCTACAATGTGATCATTTTATTTTACATCACTATCACTTCCTGAGTGCTGCATTGCACCATCCTAAGTCACTGCTACCCACACTGCCAGTGGCCTTGGCCAAACGTGCGAATATGAAACGGAGTGTAAATATAGCTCCATAGCTCATGCTGTTTCCTCCATTGACTCTTGTTAGAAAAACAATGGCATCCTATTATTCACCGGGCCATGATTGAACTGAGAGAAAAGTCTTGACTAACTGCAGGGACATTGTTCAGCGCTGCAGTAAAGTGCTGTTTGAGAAAACTCTGACAGTCTGTCTGAAATGCCTTCAGTCAGAAACAATGCGTGAATTTATTGAGCAGTTCTTTAATGCACTTCACCTTTCAGATGTTTTTTTCCATGATAAAAACTTTCTTGCTCTTTACCCCCTGTCATGTATCATTATTAATCCACGAGGTTGGCGGGCTGATATACTGTTTTTGGCCCGGGTCGCCTGAGTTTGAACATGCGGAGTCACCGTTAGGCATTGTTCAAAAATGTTCCCTAAACACGGGTGACCGTCAAAGGTCAGGACTCTGAGAATAACTCCTGTGATATTTAGAAACACCTTTTGTTTCCTGATAGTCCAGCTATAGCTGCGATGCTGATGTAACCAGAGGAGTCAGTTGGCATAGCAACTATCCCGGTGACCTCTCCAGCAATGGTGGCTGTGTAAAGGTCTGTTATGCAATAGGCTGAATTTAGGGTCATGGGTTATTCATACGTCTTCTCTTTGCTTTAAGCAACTTTTGTTTTGCATTAATTTCATGAATTAAAACAGTGGATGCAAGCTCCTAAATTTTTAGGTGAAAACAGTTGATTGCAGGGTTGTTGTTGTTGTTGTTGTTGTTGTTGTTGTTGTTGTTGTTGTTAAAGAAGCATTTTACTGCTGAAAAGAGGATCTTTTCATAGAACTGGGCTGTCGATGCAGCAGAGAGACACACATACTTTCAAAATTGGTGCTATATGACGAGAGAAAACCAACCTGGTCTCACTCTGAAGTTGTTGAAATCCGACGCTTGGGCAGTGACTTGCGGCATCAGACACTGACGACAAAAGCCATCCTTTAAGGTCGGCATGGTATGTAGCCAGTCGTCGTTATAGTTTAATGGCGCTTGGCAGCAACAGGGAGAAGCGCAGCAGGGCAAGAACGAAAGTTAAGGTGATGAAAGTCTGGATAGAATGGCTGGGAGGGGTGGTGGATGGGTCCAACAAACACCGACCTTTACCCCGGTGCTACCCCGACGTGTTTTTGTTGCCTAAACCTAACCATGTGCATTAGTTGTTGGGTTTGTACAACAATGTCAATTGCTGCGTTTATTTTGAAAGAGACTGCATGTAATCGTTAAATTTCCTGTGAAAACACAAGTGTATTTTGAAAGAAGACAATGCATGTAACAGGCTGAACTTGACACGGTGCCCGAACGTCAACAACCAACACACCCAGGGTACCTTGCACGTTGTATGTAGACGTGGAAAGCCCGTGACGTCGATATGTGACGAGGTCGGAGCGAGAATGGGTTGGAGAAAACAGAAAAAAAGGGCTGCGGCATTCTTTTGCTCAGGAGGTAAAACACCTATACCTACTGTACCAGCGGACCAATAGACTAAATCACCATGACGTCATGCTAACAACAATCATCTCTTCTGGGTCGACTGTAATCGCAGAGATATGCAAAATCAGCAAATGTGTTTATTTCTGTTGTCACTTTCAGCCATCACCATGACATGACGGTCTGACCCATCTGTTGTCTCTGCTGAGCTCACTTTATGTACTGTGTTGCTTTACTTGCATTGTAAAGCCAGCTACTCCCATGTTCTGAATGACTGTTTTGTCAATGGATACTGGTGGCTTTGAGATAATGGATTCAGGTCCCCGTCCGAAAGGGTTGTCCGCAGTGAAAAAATTCTAAATCTAGCGTACACTTAAACTGAACATTTTTTAGAAGGCTAAAAACGAACAAATTGAGGCATTGTTTGCGCAGCACAGTTTCACTTGTGGGGTTTTCTACCTGCAAGTTTTTCGAAACAAACACTGTAATTTGGTCTATAGATGCTCCCGCTGGTGGGTGATGTAATGCAAGTTTGTCCCCATGGCTTGTCCATTTTGAGGCAGGAAACAGTACGGTGGCAGACTAGTAACAATCACGAATTGCAGTTAAATAGTAGGCAAAGTGCCTAGTTTTACTTTTTGATCTCAGTTTTACAGTGCAGGAAACAGTATGGCACCTACTTCCTGTTCAAAAACTCTCTTATTACAGCAAAACAGTGCACTAAAATGCTTCTGAAGACATTTTAGGCAAGAAATAGACAACACAGTAACAGAATCTTGGTTCATATTTGATCAGCACTGCGTTTGAGAGGAAAAGGAAGGGGTGGGTCTCTCTCTTGATCCACTTTTATTAGCCTACTCTTTGTGTCTGTGGTGGCGGCTGTACGAAAATGCAGAAGTACAATCTGCTCAAGCAACCGCCATTGAGACAGCAAAAAGCTGCTGGCGGATTCGAGCTAAGAGGAGAGCAGGTAGATCTGTGCATTGGTAAGATGGAGGAAAGTTCACCACAGTTCATTTACACATCATTACCAATATTTTTATGACACAAAGCTGACTGAAAATCATCAAGTGTGCCTTTCATTATTTGGCTATCAGAACTAGAGTTTGAGTATACGGGGGAACCTGTTCTAAACTCTAAAATAAAAGTAGAACATGGGTGTGTTGTGCACTAACAAACAGCAGTGGAGGAAGTATTAATGTCCTTCACTGGACACTGCTGTGTCTTCCTGCAGCTTTCTATCAAAGGAGGATGTTTTTTAGGGACCTTTGCTGTTTCCTGCAGCTTTTTAGCCACCAAACTATGGGGTGCCGTTTGTAAAGTGTCTCACGCTGAAAATAACATCAACATTTTGCCACATTTAGCTTCAAACAATGTTTAAAAAAGTGTTGTGAATTTTTCGTGATTTCCCAAAACTGAATAAATACCACACATCGCAACACAAAACTGCTTTGCTAGCTCAGTCATGTTGTAACTAAGACATCCGCTGGAAAAAAATATTTTTTTCACGGACCGTTTAAGAGTTAATGAGTCATTATAGACACTGCTAATGGTGCTAAGAGCTAACGGTTGTTAGCTTAGCTCAGGTTGTTAGTCCCTCCGAATGGACACTAACAACTCAAAGTACACATCAAATAAAATTTCTCCAAACACGTTTCTTGTTATTTTAGGTAGTTATTATCACGCTAATGTATGTTCAAGTGTTCATTTCCCCCGATAAGTTGGTTTTAATTCGTTATTTGATTCTATAAACACAGTCTGACCATCTCAAGCTTTTATTTTGGTACTTCCGGTGACCGGCAGTGTGAATTTGCATATTAGCTAAATATTTAGTTTCACCCAGAACATTTAGATTTAACATTTAACATTTAGATTTAGCATTTAGATTTAACATTTATATTTAGATTTAATATTTAGATTTAATATTTAGATTTAACATTTAACATTTAGGTGCCACATTTAATATTTAGATTTAACTATTTAATATATTTCTAAGTTAACAAATATTGCTGTAAATGTGGTAAAAGGTGATGTTAAAAAATTCACAACACTTTTTTAAACATTGTTTGAAGCTAAATGTGGCAAAATGTTGATGTTATTTTCATCGTGAGCCACTTTACAAACGGCACCCCATACCAAACGAGGGCATTTTTAAAGACCTGTTGCTGTGTTTGTTGCAGCATTAAGCCTGGAAATAAGAGTGATTTTTAGGGACATGTTGGTGTGTTTCCTGCGGCTTGTAAGTGTTTTTTTCGTGACCCATGGCCCTTTTTCCAGTGACTTTTCAGCCCCCAAACTTGGGTGTTTTTTCTTGACCTGTCGCTGTGTGTCCCGTGGGGATAGTGGCATAAAAAGTCATTCGCTGCATTTCTAGTAGCTTTCCAGAAAAAGTAGAATAAGAATACTTTATTAATCCAGAGGGGAAATTAAATTTTTTTCACTCTGTTGTCATATACACACAGGCCCGAGATACACACACATGCACAAACAGAACCTTTGCATGCATTAGATGGAGAGATGTCAGAGCGATGAGGCAGCCTTGGACAGCAGTTGGGGATTCAGTTCCTTACTATAGAGCATCTGAGCAGTGCCCAGGGGGCAAACTGGCACCTCTCCAGCTACTAGTCCACGCTCCATACTTGGGCTGTGTGGGGACTTAAACCGGAAACCCTTCGGTTCCCAAGCCAAGTCCCGATAGTCTGAGATACTGCTGCCCGACCACTTAGCCACTAACACTGGGTAGTTAAGCCAAAATGTGCCTGAACATAAATACACATTAACCACAGTGTTGTGGAAACTGCTACATAATAATGCACAAATTTAACGTATCTTTTATTCTGGTGTTTGGGTTGTAGTAATACAGATGAATACTGCTGTAGTTTGACAATTTGCAGCAAATTTTAACCACTTAATATGCTGTTGGTGGGTTAATGTACAACAATGCATCATATTTTATAACCTAATTATATAAAAACTAAAGTTGTTAAAGAAATAATCAGAAGCATGGAAATACTCCAGTACCTCAAAACTATACTTGAATACAGTACTTTAGCAAACTACTTAAGTATTTAATGAACTCTGCTCATTAACACTGACACTATTGATATTTCCACACCCTAAAAGTTAATAAAAGCAACATTTTAAAGCAGAATCAGACTTCAGATCAACACACAAGGACAGGACTTGTTGGCACAGCCTCAGGAATATCTGCATTAATGATTCACCACAGAGGAAATATTGCTCAGAGTGGCTGCTGCTGCTGTGAGGCGGCCGTTTGTGCACTTATGTCGCTTCTTTGTGCGCAGATTATCGCCCATTCTTCAGGCAGGGGGCGGGAGAGAGACTCTTGGAAATCTGCTCTACCCCTCACCACCACCGCCACCATCTCCACCGCTGCGTAATCAGGCAGGTCCAGGGCTGAGGCGCACCGAGCCTCACAGAGCTTTGAGTATTGATAAGACAACTTGGAAGGAGAGGACCGCAAACTACCGTGCAGAGCTGCGACGTTATTTCAGACGTTCAGCCTGAGAGCTGGACTGTGGGGTCGCATCACGGTTACAGAGACGCTGCGAGGAGAGAAATCAAGTGGATTAATTTGGTATATTTTAAAGAAATCGGGACTTTTTTTATGGAATAACTGAAACTTTGCTCACTTTCTGTGCGTCCTGGATAGTTTTGTATTGTGAGCTTTGAAACTTGGAGATGTTTTTGGGCATTTTGTTAATTTAATTTAGTGCGCTTTTAGTCGGAAACGCACTTTTGCGCAAGGTGAACTAAAGACTGAAGCGCCTGAATTAAAACGTGGACGTTTATTTCTTATTTTTGTCACGAGGGGGACTTAAAAAGTTGCGTGCCTCTTTCTTCTTCTTCGGATATCTCTGCCGGAGAGACAACAGTGTGGACACACCGTCTACGCGCGCGCAGTTCCGCAGGGCGAGCCGCTGTCCCCCCGCGCGCAGTGCTGAGGAGAGACGGACTCTCGCGCTTCCATAAATGCCCGGTCCGTCGAGGAGGCTCGAGGCTGGGCAGCAAGATGAGCTCGTGGGTACAGCTGCTGCTCGCGTTGCTGGCGGCGTGTCTGCGGTTTGGCGTCACCGAGGTGAGTCGTCATCACAGTTTGACCAACTTTGGGAGATGCTTCACCTCTTATGGTGCACTATATTAAATATTAAAGCAAAACCTGAAGCAACAAGGGAGTTCAAACAGTATGAGTGCACGAGCATTAACGGGATATAACATTAAAGCATGCTGGATATATAAACTATAAAGCTGTTGTAGCAATTTAGTAAGTAAAATACCGTATGTATCCTAATATATGTGTCTTCAGTAATATAATTGATCACTTTGGCCTATATTTCTATTGTTTTTATTCTATTTTGGATCTAAATTATGAGTCATAATATCAAAAACATCTGTGTTCTTCCTAATAAACACAGCAGAATCCACTTAGACTAACATGCTCATCAAATCCAGGTTATTCTTACAACTTGTAATCCAGTGCACCTGCTTCAGTTTACTCTCACAATAAAACCCACTCCCTCCCTTATTGTTTTGATTCAGAGAGGGGTGCCATCCTCGCAGAAAATAACAGTTATTCCCCCCATTAACTGGCGTCATGAATGGATGCCCAGGGGCGCACACATGCAGAGGTCAGTCCTCTGTGATGAGCCAGGAAACAGAGGCTGCCATGATACAGCTGGATGCTCCACGTGGTGCATTTATGGATGCTGCTCCAGATGTTGAGCGAGGGCCATAAATCAGTCAGTGAGCAGCATCTTACTGTAACATGATGCTGTACGGGCCACATGGCAGCTACAGGAGAGGAACCAGGAGAGACTACAGCAGCAGGGACACGTTTATGAAATATATCGGAGAGGGGAGATGACACAGAGTGTGAGCTGTGTTAGTTATTAGTTAGTGTAATTAGTTATCTTGCCAAATGTTGGGCATCTAAAACACTTAGATTTATAATATCTAAAGGGAGACAAATGAGGAACCACATGACATTTTCAGCTACAAATGTAGGCTTTTTAAAGACATATTTTACCTCCTTCCTGTAGCGCTATTCATCAGTCTAGAATTTTTCGGAATGAGTTGCAGAGTGTTGCGGATATCGGCCTTAAAGATGTCTGCCTTTCTCCTGCATGCTGTGTCCACGTGCTCCTCAAATGGTCCCATTTTCCGAGTTGGAGTTGGGAAGTCATGCTTCAGAATTTGGTGTGTTCATGAGCTTTATGTCATGATGTGGAATCAATATGGACACTACAGAGAAGATGTGTTGTATGTTGTTGTTCAGAGCCTTTAAACAGCGCATTAATAACAGTTTGAAGCTTTATATTCCAAAGTCATTTTGTCCCAGACTTGTTGCTGCACCAGTACATCCCCTAAAACTACGTGCTGAAAAATAACCTCTCTACCTAATCGAGATCACTCCACACGGACAGCATCTGACGGTTACAACCTAATACCATATTAAAAAATACATTTGACCAAAAATTGACATGCAATATGTGACTCAATAAGAAGTTTATTACCATCAACCGAACATTTACTTTCGTCGGCCATGTGTCTGCAACTTGCATACCAGATTTTTTGCTGACTTTCCGAGTGGTTGATCCGACTTGAAGGGGCGTCCATGTGGATTTCGAGATGGCACTCGGCTTGTGGTGCTCAAAGCTCCAAAAAATACAACTGAAAAACTCAACAGCAATGTCTCTTTCCAGAAATCATAACCCGGTTACTTAAGATAATCCACAGACCTAGGAACTATTTTCTTGTTACTTAACTACACCTGACAACTGTATTCCAGCGCAGAAGGAAGTGTGCATCTACTGCTAGCTCACCTAGCACTACTCAGCTAGCTAACGTTACATCTCAGCCAAGCAGGATGTAATTAAATTTTACATCTTGTGCTGTCATGAGCCTCTCGTCCATGACTTGATGCACACTTCCTTCTGCGCAGTGACACAGTCGGTGGGTGAGTTTGCCAGAAAGAAAATAGTTCCTACTGCACATGAAACTGCTCACAACACCATCTGTGGATTATCTTGAGTAACCAGGTCATGATTTCCAGAAAGAGACATTGCTGCTGAGTTTTTCAAATGTATTTTTTTGATGCTTTCAGCGCCACAAGCTGAGTGACATCTAGTTCCATTATACTGGAGAGAAGGCAGACATCTCTACAGCTGATATCCAACATTTGGCAACTCACAACAAAACAATTTAGATTTATGAAAAGCACTACAAGTAAGAGGAAATATATGTATATTTGATTTTTGGGTGAACTGTCCCTTTAAGTTTGTGACAGGGTTACCACATAGACACAGACAATGCACTTATTAGTGCTGTTTCTATTGCCAGAGAACCACTTTTGCACTGCTGCTCCATTTCAACACAAATCGGAGCAACACTTTCTTTAAAACTCTTAAAAATGAACAGGCAGCAATGAAATACAGGCGCAGGATAGACGGGCAAAGTCTAACCGTCTGCTGGGGTCAAACAGGAAGACAAAACTTAACTGAAGGTCTCGTCCAGGTCAAGTGAGGCCTCGTGATAAGTGACATTGTTATGTTCACTTTGGCAAAACTCTTTGCTTCTTTTGCCCAAGTAAAGTCCATAGAAGTGGGTTCAGATGCACATTGAGTCAGATTTTATCTGTATTTCTGCCTCTGATAAGATTTCATCTGGGTTCCCAACCCAGGAAGTTCAGCCACACAATGAGTGTCAGTCACTTGTAAATGGGGTCAAAACCCACACAGTTAACACATCAGTCATAGGAAGTGGATATTTGAACAAGTCAAAAAGAGGGCACAACCTGCCCTTTTCTCATCCGACAGATAGTATTGGGTATTGTACCAAGGTCTGACTAACGTCAGCACACACTGGAAACTATTGTCTTTCAGTTAATGTAGAAACAATATAAAAGAAGGGATAAAATAAAGAGTTTCTGCAGGATGTGAAGTGGCATCTTAAGTGGCTTCACTCCTCCTTTCATTCACTAAACCCATATACTTTAGCGTATGCATGTACTCTACCATCACCATGACTACTTCACATAAGATTTAGGGTGTGTGATGGATGACTTTAAATTCCTGTCATCAACCCGTCTTCTCAGTTTATGGCCTCTGTAGGCACCACATGTAAAAGAAAATTTGACAGGCCGAGTGTTTTAAAGGGAGAAATCTACAAAGGCTTTGAGGTATCCAACCAGGAATTCCCCGTGTCTGATTTTAAAGTTATAGTATGGCAGCTGTGAAATGATGGAGTCTGTAGGTTCAATCACGTCCTGTGTAAAAAGAACAAGAGAATGGGTTTAAGACAGAGCTAGTCACGAGAGGGAGATAATTTAAAAGCTTACTAATATATGAAGTGCACATACATTCAGCTGTGGACCACCAAAGAGGAACACAGACATTAAGATAACACAGACACCTCATTATCCTTTGCATCAGGCGGCTTTCCAATCTACAGCTATGACAAAGGTAATTAAAGTCACATCCATTCACACATTCTAGTGTCGCGCATGTGTAGGCGCAGCTTCAGTGACTACATGTGAAACCTCACACGTGTGCTGTGGCTGCTGGTGCTGCTGTGCCGGCAGCAGGCTCAACCCTCTAATTATGTACGATTAGATGTTCCCTCTCCTCCCCTGCCCACTGCAGCCGCTGCCTGTACCTGGCATTCCTCAGTATGGCCAAAAGACCTTCAGGGGATGGGAGCTTGCTTCAGGTGTTAAGTGCTGGGTGATGTCAAAAATGTGTTTTTTCAGTGGTGTTGAATGGCAGATAGTGTGCGAGACAACCTGAATGCTCATGATTTTAAGAAAGAGAAACGACTGTACGGGAGCAGTTTGGTTATACAATTCAGTTTCTAAGAAATGGCACTGCTGACAGTGGTGCTGTTGATTAATAGTAGGTCAACATCATGATACTGGAATCTCTATGTTTGATACAATACCTTGAGAAATATTTGACACCATTTTCGATACCATGACAGAAATGGTCATTGAGGGCATAAGATTTAATTTTTTTATTAAAAGAAAAACCTAAAACATGATGACAGATTTTCTTTTTTTGGTTAGTAGCAGAGAACAGCAGAATGATTGCAAAAAAGCGCAGCTTGTATCAGTGTATCAATACTGCGGAAAACAGGTATTAAAACTGTTTTAAATATTCAGAATCTATCATAAATAGATATTTTTGACAACACAACATTGAAGTATGATGCCCGTTAAACAGCTGTGTCTTTCATTATGAATAGGGTGCTGCTTTTGCACACTGATGACATCCTTCACCCATGCAGTCCATAAAAGCTTCCCCCTATAAGCATAACCCAGTTGCCAGAAAAAATGTTGCCACTTTAGTTTCTGGAAACCAGTATATTACTTTTGGACATTATTATGCAGCAGATACGTTGAAACTTTATGTTCAGACAACACTGTGGTTATTAGTCTGGTTAGGCTTTAACACAAATACCACTTGGTTATGGTTGAAAAAAGATCATGTATGGGCTTAAAATATTCAGTTTTTGGAGCACATTCCCAGTACGAAATGCAGTGACGTCTTTGTTAAAAACACAACTGCTTTTTGTGGCACTACACCCGCTGGAAAAACAGCAACGGGTTGCTAAAAAACAGTCCTGTTAGGGGACTATAAAGCTGTTTGTGGGCTGAGAAGTCACAGGAAAGACAGCCACTGGTCACTGAAAAGCACGTTTAGGGGCTAAAAGCCGCAGGAAACACATTGAAGGGTCCCTAAAAACCACAAATGGCTGTGGGCTAAAAAACGCTGAAAAATCAGCCATGGATCACTGACTTACAACCATGACTGGGGGCTGGAAAAAGAGCCAACAGTCACTAAGAACCACACGTTGAGAGGCTAAAAGCCACAGGAAATACAGCGAAGGATTTCTGAATAACACAAATGTTTGTGGGCTAAAAGCAGCTGGGAAAACAGCCCATAAACACCCTCATTGTGGGGCTTTAAAGCCATAGGAAACAGCGATAATTCTATAAAAATCATAACTGCTTTTTGTGGCATGATCCCCGCTGGAAAAACAGCAACCCGTCGCTAAAAACACTTTTGTTGAGGACTACGAAGC